AACACCCCTTCCCCCACTCCACACCCTACACTTACACCCCCCTTCCCCCACTCCACACCCTACACTAACACCCCCTCCCCCACTCCACACCCTACACTTACACCCCCCTTCCCCCACTCCACACCCTACATTAACACTCCCTCCCCCACTCCACACCCTACACTTACCCCTTCCCCCCCCTTCCCCCTCCACACCCTACATTGACACTCCATCCCCCACTCCACACCCCACACTTACACTTCCTCCCCCACTCCACACCCTACACTTACACCCCCCTTCCCCCACTCCACACCCTACATTAACACTCCCTCCCCCACTCCACACCCTACACTTACCCCTTCCCCCCCCTTCCCCCTCCACACCCTACATTGACACTCCATCCCCCACTCCACACCCCACACTTACACTTCCTCCCCCACTCCACACCCTACACTTACACCCCCCTTCCCCCACTCCACACCCTACACTAACACCCCCTCCCCCACTCCACACCCTACACTTACACCCCCCTTCCCCCACTCCACACCCTACACTAACACCCCATCCCCCACTCCACACCCTACACTTACACCCCCTTCCCCCCCTCCCCACCCTACACTTACACCCCCCTTCCCCCACTCCACACCCTACATTAACACTCCATCCCCCACTCCACACCCTACACTTACACTTCCTCCCCCACTCCACACCCTACACTTACACCTCCCTCCCCCACTCCACACCCTACACTTACAACCCCTCCCTTCCCCTGCTCCACACCCTGCACTGACGCCCAACCCTGCACCGATATGACCTCCTTCCTACCCCCCACCTCTATCAGACTATATTCAACACCTGTGCTGAATTGTACTGTTTACCATAATATAAAGTCCATCAGTTATTTTCTATTTAAATGTAATTTTAATTACCTTCTAGAAAATGAATAAGTTATTACAAGACAAATAAATGTATGAAACAGACTTCCACTCGCTTTATTTTTGAAATGTTAACCAAAATTTTTAACAGGTATAATGGGGAAAAAAATATCCTAACTGGCCTTAGCCCTTTAATTTGAATATGAGGTAGTTAAGATGCAATACACGTATACGTTTATCTTAATTTGAATACATCAAAAGGCCATCAGTTTGGTATTCAGGGTTTTATGCCACATTGACTTTACAAGCTTTGTCCTTATTTGGCTACATGTGCAGTAAGGATTAGATGTATCCTTGAATTATAGTGGAGTTTACATGGTAATAATTGGTATACAATTGCAGCATACAAATAATTCAAGACAGACAAAACAAAACCCAAGGATACTTTACATTTATTGTACAGTTTACTCTTTTAAGTACTGGAGTACAATGTATTAGAAGGACAGAGTTTACGGAGTGGTTAACGCTCTGGCCTTCACTCAGATGTCCTGGGTTCGATCCCCAAAGTTTTCCTAGCATGACTTTTTAAGAAAGTGTTTTTCTCTTCCCCACACAACTTTGTTAATACAGGTGGAGTATCAAGTAGTCTGTGGTGGGGGCTACAGTTATTGTGCTGTAACATTCAAGTGAGGTGGGAATAACATGCTGTTAGAAACCTGGGCCCACCAAAACCTGCACTGATATACTTCCTCATGCAGGAATGCACACATGTGGAGGGATTTAGCCAGGTGGCATATGACCAGTAATTAGAGCTTGATAAAGAAATCCTAAAATTGTATGTATTTTTATCAGTCTATTGTATAAATTGTTTATTTGTGTATTATGACATACCTTGAAGTGACATACTTAAGCTAGATACGGTCCTATAATGTCAAATGCCATATAATGATAAAAGCACTGAAAGTACTTTACAATACCATTGAATCCCCTAACAGAAATACAATATTTCTGCCATTGACATATTCATGGTATTGGTATGTACATATACTAATAGAGAGAGAGTGAACAATTTTCCTGGAAGTATTTAAAAAGAAAGTCCAAAATTAATGAAGGAATTTAGCATGCAATAACCCCAGACGATGTCAAAACTAAGGCTATTGAATCAATGTTTTACTATCCTACTATAATTTCAGTAGACCACTTTTCAGATTTGACGTACATTTTCATAGCAACACACCTATAATAAATACTGTTATAAAACAAGAACATAAGTTTCTATACTTTTGCCAATTTTCAACCTTGGATCTGGAATTGTAACAGGTAGAAAGATAACCAGTGACACCTGGTGGTACTTTTGGTAACAACAGCAGTATTTACATATACCACAGCTGAAATTGTCCAATAAGTGCTTCTTTTGTCATCTGCTTTTAGTCTTTTGTAAAAAATAGTTCAGATGATTTAAATATGAGCCAATAAATTACAAAAAAATGGTACTGCCGTTTGCTTGTGACAACTGGTGCACAGCACATATAAATTAACAACTGATATTTGCTTTCAAAATGTTATTACCTGTTAAGTGAAATATAAATTAATTAGTGTGTACCGGTGGGATCTGATGGGATCTGGACGGGCACAGATGAACCTTTGTAGTGTCCTCTTTGTTGAGATTTAAATCTACACTCGAAGTAAATATTCTTAAATTCGATGAAATAAAAATCCTCACCTGAAGTAAATGTTCTAGAAATTTTATGACACAAATGTGTTTAAACTGTTATTTCAAAATGACATAGTGGACTTAGCTGGAACACTTTTCAGGAAGTGTTTTGTGAAAAAAAAAATCTAACTTGATTTATGTCATTGTATTATTTAAACTTTGATTTTAGTAGCATTTATCCTATGATTAAGTTCATCAGCTTGAAGGAACCTTGGAACGTGGTATGAGATAATGAATGGAGAATAAGTGACATAGGGATGGTTACACAGGTACTGTACTGACTGGGTAAGATAGGGTTCTCCTTCATCACGATCGTGTTTCCTTGTCCTGGACTATTGGATTCCCTACAGAAGACAGCCCCTTTGTCATCACCTGTTCACTTGTTTTAATGTTACTCCTCTGACGGAAGTTGAGGTCAAAGACTACCCTGATCAGGTTCCCCAAAATAGGTTTATGAAACAATAATCTGTGGTGTTTTTATTACCTGTGTCTAAATGCAGACATTTCTGAATATCTGGATCATATTGTTCCACTTTTATGCAGGTGAGAATTCATATATTTATATGCAAAATGCGGTCAAATTTCGGAAAATTATTTTTGGACAAAGCACTTAGAATCCATTATGCATTATCAAAAGCAGATAATGCAATAAAAAAACTTTTTTCATTCAGTCAGGTAATTTGAGTGGAATTCATGTGCATCATCGCATGCTCAGCCTTCCTTTTAGGTATGGACCACCCATTATGTAACAGTTACCTTTGTCACACAAGACAAGGGATGTGTATATATATCGTATTTATGTCTCAAAAGGGATTGGTATTGGATATATATAGAACACCAATAGATGATAACTTCTTTGTCTTCTGCACTGTATTGTGTGATGACTTTCAGTTTACAGCTGGTATTTTGAAAAAAATGTGTCGACATAAATCTTTCTAAGGGAGATTATAATTATCGTTGGGGTCATTGTTTTGCTTTTTGACTACTTGGACTAGTGTTACGGTCACTGCATAGGAATTCAACCGGACAAGTTTGTCCTTTGTCCTTGAGCCTATTTGAAAGTTAAGATTATAGAACTTCATTTCAGCTTTAAATTTTGCGGTTTCCCAAATTTGTACCGGTTTTAATCTGCTTCTGGCTGTATTAAATCAGATCTGGATATCATAGTTTTTATGGGGATTTAAGTTTGTGGAATGTGTCTTTCAGGAAATTAACATAATCAAATTTCCTTTCTATTTCAGCTAGAAATCACAGTAACTGAAATATTTAAAATACCTATAACACAACACCAAAACATTCCGTGTGAAGAAATGTACAACATCAGGTGTTCAGGAATGTTTGTAATAAGTGTCGAGTGTGTGACACAGTGACTGTTTTCAGGTTTGTTGGTTTTATGTTGATTGAATCTCTAGCAAGGATGACAATAATGTAAGATGATGTACCTTGTTGTACTGGTAAAGCTTATTGGTCTTATTACTGAAAATAAGAAATAGGTACTGGGCCTGTTACTGAGTTAATGATAATTCTGTTGAGTCTGTAAAATAACATTTCACATTTGTTGGTTATTTGTTTCACAGTTTTATGTTTACAATTTGTTTCACTCCGCCGATAGGAATTTTGTGGTCAGCCATTACATGTAAACTTGAATAATTCATGTAATACATGTACACGTAGAGGTTCCATTATTTCTTCAAAAGACTTGAAATGTGAATTACATGATGAAATTTTATAGTCCTACAGTATGCAAATAATGAACCTTTTCAGCATCTGATAAACAAAAGGGTGGGCTTATCAGTGAGCACTGGCTTGGCCTTGATTGGTTACGTATGTATAATAGTGTTATCTCTTAAGCAGAGACTGTGTTACCATTGTTGATTTATTTCCTTTTTTTCTGTTCCAGAGATGTCTGGGCCAGCCACCCATTCTGCCTACCCCACGGTGTCTCTGGTAGACAAGCTACGACTGGCTGCCTGCAATGGTCAGGTGGACAAAGTGCAGGAGCTCATCCAATTGGGGGCCACGTTTCATCCAGACAAGGTAGCCTATTTTTTTTTTATTGATTAGCCATTTATTTTATTGTAGTTAGTTAGTTGCCAATAAAACTGATTTTATGGTTGGCAGCAAGACAATACCTAGTAACAATTGCTTGTTCCATCGATAGTGCAGTCTCTGTTCTAGTTTTGTATATATAGTTCCCAAGAGGTTTCTACTGTACTATCCTTGTCTATTTTTCACAGAAATTCATCATAAATCAATTGTATGATAGCATCCATTATATTTATTGCTCCATAAAACATATCAAAGACTTGTACATTTGTGCAGGCTACATTCGCTACTTAATTGTCTGGGTTGTTGGTATGAGAACAGTATTTAGGTAAAGATGGCACACACTGAATGCCTTGGTAGGTTTGTAGTTAGATATGTTAGACATTTGTCTGCTAGTGATAGATACGTTAGGCATTTGTCTGCTAGTGATAGATACATTAGACATTTGTCTGCTTGTGATAGATACATTAGACATTGTCTGCTAGTGATAGATACATTAGACATTTGTCTGCTAGTGATAGATACGTTAGACATTTGTCTGCTAGTGATAGATACATTAGACATTGTCTGCTAATGATAGATACATTAGACATTGTCTGCTAGTGATAGATACATTAGGCATTGTCTGCTAGTGATATATACGTTAGACATTTGTCTGCTAGTGATAGATACATTAGACATTTGTCTGCTAGTGATAGATACGTTAGACATTTGTCTGCTAGTGATAGATACGTTAGACATTGTCTGCTAGTGATAGATACATTAGGCATTGTCTGCTAGTGATATATACGTTAGACATTTGTCTGCTAGTGACAGATACGTTAGACATTTGTCTGCTAGTGATAGATACATTAGACATTGTCTGCTAGTGATAGATACATTAGACATTTGTCTGCTTGTGATAGATACGTTAGGCATTTGTCTGCTAGTGATAGATACGTTAGACATTTGTCTGCTAGTGATAGATACGTTAGACATTTGTCTGCTAGTGATAGATACCCTAGACATTTGTCTGCTAGTGATAGATACCCTAGACATTTGTCTGCTAGTGACAGATACGTTAGACATTTGTTTGCTAGTGACAGATACCCTAGACATTTGTCTGCTAGTGATAGATACGTTAGGCATTTGTCTGCTAGTGATAGATATGTTAGGCATTTGTCTGCTAGTGATAGATACGTTAGGCATGTTTGGTTATTTATATGTTCAGCGATCTGCTGCATAAGGCATTATGTTTAGCTACATTGGTTCTATCAAGGTTAGGAGATGCTACTTCCTTAACTGTGTTAGCCATTGAGTCGTATAAGAGATTCTTGGGATGTAATCAAATAAATTGACCTTCAGATTTAAAGACCAATAAAGCCATACTTCTTAATTGACCTTGTTTTTGATATTGTGTGATGAGGAATTTCAATTTCAATTTTTTCCTTTAAAAGAAAACTATGCATTACTTAGTTGTTTGTATTAGCTTAAAGCTTGTCATAAATGTGTAGAACATGTACAGGATCCTAGTACTTTTTATCAACCCTAATCATCCAATCAGATTGCTGTTTGAATCAAGGCCTCCAGCTATAATGTCCCAGATGGGACATCAACCACACGAGGAGATAGTCGTTTAAAATACTCTGAGCTGTTGTCTGACAGATGATGTTTTCTAAATCGGGTGGTGTTTGATGATCAAAAGAAAACACTGTAATATGATCGGATGAAAACCCAGTGGGATTTGAATTTTAGATTACCCAACATGCAATGTTCCAACACGTTGGTTGCAGATGGCTCAATCTGTTTGTTCAAGGCCACATGGTTTATTTTGGTTCCTTTGTAAGTGTGTCCATAATCTTGTAGTTACAATATGCAGTTTCTGTAACAGAATATGAAGAGAATTTGAGATCCATTCGTAGAACAGGTTGTAAATAGGAAGCTGTTTAAATGTTCTAGAATTTTGTACATGTATTTAAAATCCTTTGCTCGCCTTGGAGAGGGCTATTCAGTGCACAGATTACCAGGGGAGGTGCAGCGCAGAATGAGTCATATTTCAGTGATCACTGAAAAAGTCGGTGACACTTTATCTTTGAACTTGCCTGCGGTGCTGGCTACCCACTCTACCTGTGCTGGCTACCCACTCTACCTGTGCTCGGGAGAAAGTCAATTTATAAAGTGTACGTGAAATGTTCCAGGAAGTTTGGCGTATTTCATTGAATCTGCATTAAATTGTCCCTGATTTCTTATAAACACGGATGTGACATGCAATGTCTCAAAAGGGCTTAATCAGGCGAGGATATGTATGCCGATGATGTGTGGATAAAAACTATAATTATAATATCATGAAGTCATTTCTGTTTCACTGATATTATCATACATTTACATTTGTGCTGTAACCCACTATATGAACATTACCAGCAAAAATGCATTTCATTTGAGTATGAATGCAAAAACTCTCGTGACGTAACACATGGTTTACTTATGACGTCATAGATTAACCTTGTTCAATGAGAGTGTTGTCGCCTCGCTTCGGATAACAAGGAGAATGCCCCTGTGTCAAACGCTCAAATGACTACAGTTAATCATTGGCGCCAATTTTAGTTAAGTAGGGCTGTTCTGCCAATGTCGTTTAAAGGACGACGCATCTACAAGATGCAGTAAATAAACAAAATATTTAAGAACAAATGAATGAAATTTAACAATTGTTCTATAGTAAAAATGTAAATATAAGCCGGTAGTGGGCTTCATGCTAAATTGATATAACCGATTTGCATTCATATTGGCATGAAAATTAAAAAAACGCCGTTCAATCCCTATTTGAAGACAATTTTGACCTTATTAACTAATTTTATGATGAAAATTCTTTCGTTTGGTGTTTTGCTGATCAGTAACAATCCTTTGTAGGTCTGTGCCTGTCTCTAGCTCCATTTACAGTTTACTAAATGTAACATAACGGAGTACGATATAAGTTAACCTGACCATTTATATAATTATCAGGTATATATAGGATACAGGTTTACCTGACCATTTATCAGGTATAGGATACAGGTTTACTGTGCCATTTATCAGGTATAGGAGACAGTCTTACCTGACCACTTATCATGTATAGGATACAGGTTTATTGTGCCATTTATCAGGTATAGGATACAGGTTTATCTGCAGGCTATTTATCTGGTATAGGATTCAGGTTTACCTGGCCATTTATCAGGTATAGGATACAGGTTTACTGTGCAATTTATCAGGTATAGGATACAGGTTTACTGTGCCATTTATCAGGTATAGCATACAGGCTTACCTGACCACTTATCAGGTATAGGATACAGGTTTATTGTGCCATTTATCAGGTATAGGATACAGGTTTACCTGCAGGCTATTTATCTGGTATAGGATTCAGGTTTACCTGGCCATTTATCAGGTATAGGATTCAGGTTTACCTTGTCGTTTATCTTGTATAGGATACAGGTTTACCTGGCTATTTATCTGTAATAGGATTCAGGTTTACCTGACCATTTATTAGGTATAAAAGACAGGTTTACCTGAGTACTTATCAGGTATAGGATACAGGTTTATTGTGCCATTTATCAGGTATAGGATACAGGCTTACCTGACCATTTATCAGGTATAGGATACAGGTTTACTGTGCCATTTATCAGGTATAGGATTCAGGTTTACCTGGTCATTTATCAGGTATAGGATTCAGGTTTACCTGACCATTTATCAGGTATAGGATACAGGTTTACCTGACCATTTATCAGGTATAGGATACAGGTTTACCTGGTCATTTATCAGATATAGGATACAGGTTTACCTGGCTATTTATCAGGTATAGGATACAGGTTTGTTTACCTGACCATTTATCAGGTATAGGATACAGGTTTACCTGGCTACTTATCAGGTATAGGATACAGGTTTACCTGGCTATTTATCAGGTAAAGGATTCCAGTTTACTTGGTCATTTATCTTGTATAGGATACAGGTTTACCTGACCATTTATCAGGTATAAAATTCAAGTTTACCTGGCTATTTATCAGGTATAGGGTTCAGGTTTACCTGGCTATTTATCAGGTATAGGATACAGGTTTACCTGACCATTTATCTGGTATAGGATACAGGTTTACCTGGCTATTTATTTGGTATAGGATTCAGGTTTACCTGGCTATTTACCCTGTAAGATATGGTTGAACCGTACCTAACCTGACCAGAGGTAGAAGCTGGTTTATATCTAGGTGGCTGCTCCTCTTCGCCTGTCATGTTAGTCTTTGATATTGATATAACTAAACAAAACCAAATAAAAAGTCTGTTGGATCTCTAGAATCAATATACCGTGCATATTAGCCATGTTGACACTGCCAGAGAAAACAAGTTAGTGCTGTTACGCTCCTAGTATGGATCGTGACGAGGATTGTGAGCACTCTGAACGATTTAAGTCCTACAGGTGTTGTGTTGTACTTAAAGATACTGTAGATCTGAAACTGAAAGAATACTTCCCTTTACTGATGTTTTACAGGTAACTTTTAACAGGTTTTTCATATCATCTTGTATGACCACAAAAAATGTTAAGCATTACTCGAAAGCTGAGTGAGATTTGAGTAAGGGTGATAGCTTTCTTAAGTAACCAATCTTTCGAGCACGGTCATGTGACCATACCTATTTCACTAGATGACTTGAGATAGTCGTTTTTTCATATCACTGATGGTGGTCAGGGGTAAATTACAATTGGCGAGCTACAACGTGTGGGACATTTATAAGTCTATGTAATCAAAGCTTGCAGTTTTGAGCAATATTTTCTGAGTATCATATAGGTGGCATTAAGTTTGTTATGACCTATTTTTGGATCGTCAATGTGTGAGTTTAAATGCTGGTAGATATTATTAACAGTGTAGATTTACTTGTGTAAATGTTATTCTGAACAGTATTCATAGACACTTAAACCTGTCACCCCTACGTTTACATGTTAGATTCTTCTACCTTTGATCCTGGCCAGTCTACTTTAGTCTTTAGTGGTGATT